CCAAATCACCCAGAGAATAGACATTAGCCCCCCCCCAATCCCCAGCACAACCACCACTTGCAACACATCCCCCACCCAACCCGAACATATTCCCCACCCAACCCCCAATACATCCATCACCCAACCCCCAACACAACCACCACCACCCACCATCGACACATCCACCACCCACCCCCAACACATCCACCACCCAACACCCACAAACACTAAAAGAGCTACTCCAAAATACCTTTAAGAGGTTCAAAATGAAAAATTATTGCAAATTCTCTAAACGGGATGAAATTATAAAGAGGCCCTTTTGGGCAAAAACTTTAGAGAATGCCCACAACTACAACCACAATGAACCACAAAGCCTTCTCATATTTCATTTGAAGCAACTTCATACCGGTCACCTCAATGAGCCACAACCACAACCCCTTCCTATATTTCATTTGAGGCAACTAAATGCCCACACCACACACATAGCCACAACCACCATACACATACCCTTAACAACATACAACACCCAACCCCAACCCATACAACACACAACCACACATATACCCACAACCACGACACACAGAGCACCCAAGCACATCCTAACACAACACACCTTCATAACCACCATACAAATATCCTCCAAACCCACACAAAACACCCAACCACAACCCACATCACACACAATCATACACACACCTACAACCACAACACATAACACCCGACCACAACCCTACACAACTAGATACCCACACCCACCACACACACACCCACAACCATAACACAGTACACCCAACCACAACCCTCATTTTGCACCTTAATGAAACATATCCCCTCATTTTTAAATACATGCAATTATATACAGGCCACCCAAAACATTTCCATCTACAAATGAAGCATCCTCCTTCATCAATTTTTCAATTTATAGTTGAAACATAAAAGAAAAAATATTACAATATTTAATAGATGCTAATGCAGAAAGGCCACATGAAAGAATGCTATGAACAAACCAAGCACTCTCTTAAATCTAATTTTCAGATTGTCACTCAAACATCAAGGGAATTGATGAAATCTCATCCAATATTTTTCATTTGCGGCAATGACATGCATGACGCCTGAAAACTTGCTATCCACAAATGAGCACCCTATGCAAATGTGTATCTGAAACCCTTCTATCTTGAAATCAAGCACACACTTTCACCCATTCTCCAAATTACATCCAAAAATTGGAAAATTGTATAAAAAAAGTTATTCTATTGGAAAATCACATATAAAATATCATTTCATCGAAAAATCGCCACAAATCACATATGGTAACATATTTCATAGAAAATTAGTTACTAAGCATAATAACCAAAGGTTGGAGGGAGGAGGAAGAGGTAAAAGACACTGTTAATCATGAGATAGGAGCATTCGAGGGAGAGAGAGGAGTGAGGAGTCACCTAGGGCAGAACGGGGGTCGAGCGAGGAACGAATGACATGTGGGTAATAAGCAAGGAGAATAATGCGAGCCGTGAAGTTGAGCCCACTGCCTTGTTTATTAAAAAAAATTGAAAAAATTATTCGAATAAGCAGAATGAACGTACGAAAAAAATGCCTTAGCTGCTTTTTTAAAATGCAAACACACCAAAGAAGCTGCCCCAAACGGGGCCAAAATAGCTCAATAGTTAACTTGATGACATAAACACCAGTGAAATGAGACATGCTTGTGCTACCAACAAACAAAGCGATATGTGATGCCTAATGGAAGTGATGGGAGACAATTGAATGGTTTGTTTTAACTGATATATAACTTGGGGGAGGCAACCAATGGTCATTTGAGCACACAATTTTGCTTATAACTTACTCTGTAATTGATTTAGTGAATTACATAAGTTATGATGTCACATCTTAGATTTGAAAGATGATACACCTCTACCAGGCGTGATGAAAGGATTTGAGCTTGTTTTGTATTGGCAGAAGAGATGATTATATCAATCAAGGACTAAAATAAGCATGGAAAGCTAAATTTTATTTCATTTCATAAATATGAATTTAACTAATAGAAAAAAATAGAAAAAACAAGGAAATAATTGAAACTAAACTAAAAGATTAAAAAATTATACAAAAAACTCAGAAGCGAAATACAATAATTAATTTAATAACAAAAAATACCTAAAAGTAAATCTAATGCTAGATGTTTGCTCATACAATTTTTCGGGATAATAGGGGCAGTTGCCTTGGATTTTTTGTCTCTCCGGTTTGTGCCTCCACACCTTTAGAAACTGAGTGTTTCGTCAT